CGCACCTACCGCAAACGCATCGACAGCTATGTGAAGAGACAGATCGAGGACATGGACGGCCACAGGTGCAGCGTCTCCGTCCCGCTTTTCCGCTGCTTCCCTCAGTGGGTGATTGTATTGGATAAACTCCAACCTTTCTCAACACATGCTTTGTGTCTCTTTCAGGCCTTTTTTCACATACTGGATCACCTTTGTTCATTTACTCATCACTATATTGGCTGTATGTATATATGGTATTGCTCCAGTGGGCTTCTCTCAGCATGAAACTGTTGATTCTGTGAGTCCTACTCCTGACCTCAGGAAACATTTTTACTAACACAGTTTCACCCCAATACTGATCCTGTTCTGTTTAATTTTGATTTAGGTTTTAAGAAACAAAGGAGTCTATGAAAATGTCAAGTTTGTACAGCAGGAAAACTTCTGGATCGGGCCTGGTTCTGTAAGTAGCCCTTCCTCCTTCCTAATGTTTTTGTTAAACTGACACATTTCTGCATGCAGGTGGTGGATGTTTTATTTTTTATCTTCATGTGATCCATGTTTAGGAATCCCTGATCCATTTAGGGGCCAAATATTCTCCATGCATGCGACAAGATGAGCAGGTGCACAATCTCATCAGGGAAAAGAAAGCTATTGAACGCAACTCGGCATGCTGCGTTCGGAACGATCGCTCTGGCTGTGTTCAGACTTCAGAGGAGGAATGCTCGGTCCGTTTAAAAACATCAAACCTATCCATCTGCTTAGAAACACTGTGAACAGTTCTGTTCCTTTGTTTGCTTCTGTGCAGAGTACTCTAGCTGAGTGGGTGAAGTGGCCGAACCCAACACTCAACACTCCACAGTTAAATGGTAAAGACAGGCAGTATGGCTCAGTGTGTCATCAGGATCCCAGGTAGGAAACTCGTTGAGCCCTTGTTTCATAGCGACGGCGTGTGCTTATAGTAGATGAAGCACTTTATGCATTTGTTGCACACAATTTCTCTCTGACTGCAGCATATGTGTGGAGCCGGCTTCGATGTATCCACATGAATGGCCAGATGACATCACGAAGTGGCCTGTGAGTAATTTGAAGCCTCCGTACCAAAGTGATTTTGATCCTTATTACAATGAACCATCACTTTTAAAAGTGGCACTTAATTCACAGTAAAAGCAAATCATTCATTACATATTTTATAATTATTTGTATCTTAATATTGTCTTTATTCAGTTGAAGCTATGCTACTGATGGAAAAAAAATCAAGTATTTGAAATCCTGCAACTCAAAACAAAGGTCATTAAAGGACACACTGTTTGAGATACATACAAACCATAATAAAAGTAACAGTTTTTTTTATTATTTTGATGCAGTGGAGAGGGAAAACCATAAAACCTTTGACCAGATCTAATCAAACAAATATTTTTAACTAGATGTCCAGTTTGGAATAACCCAAACTCATTTCTCAGTGGTTGTTCTGTTCTGTTTTTGTTAGATTTGTACCAGGTACAACACAGGGAACCATACCAACCTGCCTCACATAGACTGCACCATCACAGGCCGACCCTGCTGCATCGGAACCAAAGGGAGGTGAGAAACATTCGGACCGATAACACAAACCAGAGAAACTTTTTAACTTACTGACTGCTGCGGTTTTGCTTCAAGGTGTGAAATCACATCCAGGGAATATTGTGACTTCATGAAGGGCTACTTCCACGAAGAGGCTACTCTTTGCTCACAAGTAAGCAGCTGTGCACATCACATGTTTTTTCTTTTTGTATCACTGGGGGATTCTACTGAACATGGTGTCCTTTTTTCAGGTGCATTGCATGGATGATGTCTGTGGATTGTTGCCTTTCCTCAACCCAGAGATTCCAGATCAGTTTTATAGGCTCTGGCTTTCTCTTTTCCTGCATGCTGGGTGAGTCACACATATTGGCACAATCCTTCAAAAATATTCTGGGATTTTCCAGGCATGAAACATTACATGGGAATGGATTTAACTGGACTGTGTAAAGGAATAAAAAACTGTTACAACATGAAAGCGTTTCAAGCTTTCATGTTGTTATTCTTAATGTTTGATCATGGCAGTGATGTATCAAAGAATAAAACAATTGTAAAAAGTGCAGAATATAATAGAAATCTTTCCTATCTTTGTTAAAGTGATAGTGTTGCTTTGGCAGTGTATTAAAGAGAAAAACAAATCAAAATAATTTGCAGCTACATCAAGGAAATTAATGCATGTAATGTGTTCAAGGAGCTCAACTCAGGCATAAGCCGTTGCAGTTTAGTTAAATTAAAATCACAACAGAATATCTGGATCTACCTGTTGTGTAACATTTGGTCACACAAAGCGGTGAGGAGGAGTTTTATTAAAAGATGATAATCTGATTTCATATTCTGCATGAGGAAATTGACTCCGTCTCTTTCCTTGGGTGGAGCATTAACAAAGCACAGGAGAGATTATTAGTGGATGTACTACTTCCTTCCCTACGGTTGCTTGTATAATCATTCATACTCCATGATTTTTTTTACATGTTATAACTGTAAACTATTTAAATGTATTAACTGAACTTTTCTGGTTGATCCACACAAAGCATGGCGTAATTGTGATGGTTTTCAAAATGTTTTACGAAAAACAAAAACTCCAACTGATTTTTTTCCAGGATTTTTCTGCATTTAGCTTAATCAAGTATCATGTGTAAAAGCATTCCCACAGCATAGTAACACTACCATCATGCTAGGTTTCCTTTTTGCATAAAGTTAGATTTTGGTCTTACTTGAACTGAACAACTTCTTCTAAACACGACTTTTTATTGTTTTTTTTGCCCAAAGGATAGCTTTCGTTTTGCCACATTTCTTTAATGTACAGATGCTGACTGGCATGTTTCCGGATCACCTGAGCTGTTTTCCCTCAGTCTTCATGATGCCGTTTATTCACCACTGTTATCTAACGAACCTCTGAGGCTTTTGCAGAACAGCTGTCGACTTGGTGGCGGACCTGTGCCAAGTAGTGCTCGGCTGTGAATTGGAAAGAAAATCAGTTGACAGTAAAATTTCCAGTAAAAGTCATTAAAGTTTTGGGTTAAAATGTGACATTTGGCGAAGTTCGAACAAACCAAGTTGGAACTTGTGCCAGAATATCCGATATTCTAAAGAAATAATCTTTCAGAATAATAGATCTGGTTTCTGAACTGAAGGGAACAACATAAGGGAAGGAAACTTGTTGTAAACTAAAACAGCTGTTGTTGAGATTTCTCTCTTTATATGTTACCCTCCATCTGTTTGGCATATGCCAAAAATATGTGGTTTTGATCCAACTGTTCGCTCCCAGTAGTATTCTATTTTGGCATTATCGTTCTAGCTGCAGTCTAAAACTGTCAGTCAGGCAGAGCAAAGACCTCCCACTTACAGCCACCCTATAGTTAAGAAGCTCTTCATCTTTGCATCTTCTGTTATTTCTCTCCTGGATAATTAACAAAGTGGCCTCACTGCATGAATTCATTAAGCTTCCCTGAGATGGAGAGTGATTTGTGCTGCAGTGCTTCTCCCAGCGCTGAAGGATTATCTTCTCAGCACCTGCGGTTTTGTAGAATCTCCATCCCTCATGCGCTTTGCTTTTTTCTGTGCCTGTCCTCCCAGAATCCTCCACTGTATGGTGTCGGTGGCTTTCCAGATGACCATCCTGAGAGACCTGGAGAAACTGGCTGGCTGGCTGCGCATCTCAATCATTTATATCCTTAGTGGGATCACTGGGAACCTGGCCTCAGCTATCTTCTTACCCTATAGAGCAGAGGTAGCAAAGCTTCTAGTTTGTAGGATGTGTTCGTCTTGTTATGCTTTCTAATTCTTCTCTCGCCTTGCCTCAGGTGGGTCCCGCTGGATCTCAGTTTGGGATTCTGGCCTGCCTGTTTGTGGAGCTCTTCCAGAGCTGGCAGATCCTGGCCCAGCCGTGGAGGGCCTTCATCAAGCTGCTGTGTGTGGTGCTCTTCCTCTTTGCCTTCGGGCTGCTGCCCTGGATCGACAACTTCGCCCACATCTGTGGCTTCATCTCCGGCTTCTTCCTGTCCTTCGCCTTCCTGCCCTACATCAGCTTCGGCCGCATGGACCTGTACCGCAAACGCTGCCAGATCATCGTCTTCCTGCTGGTGTTTGTCGGTCTATTTTCGGGCCTCGTGGTGCTCTTCTACGTCTACCCCATCAAGTGCGACTGGTGCGAACTGATCACCTGCATCCCCTTCACGGACAAATTCTGCGAGAAGTACGACCTCAACGCCCACCTTCATTGAAGTGCGAGCAACGAAGCATGAAGGCATCAGGTCAATCATTGCGGACTGATCGAGAGGGAGGGCAACATTTCCTCTTTGTCTATGAACTAAAAGATTATTGTTGTGTTCTTTTACTGTCATTACGAATACCTATACTCCACATCATATGGATTTCCTTTACGTTCCCATTCACAATCATTGTCAGTGCTTTTATTGTCCAGTGAAACAAAGCTAAGGCACTTCAAAAACCCATCAAAGCACCTGGTTTCCCTTTACTTGAGAGGAAGTAATTGGAGTAGCCCAGGCGCTGGTACAGGCTGAAGGATCATATTCAACATTCGCAACAATTATTCAGGCAACCTCAGAACCAGAAGCAGGGACAAAAATATATATACCTTTGGTGCCTTGTTGATAAATGTACCAACTACTGCCATATTTTTGTTACATTATGCTGAGCACTCGAATGTTTCCTTTTGTTTATTGCTTCTCGAGAAGTGATTATTGTTTTAAACACGGTGGCGTTTTAGCCACCCATCTATCCTCATGTAACTGAAACGGTAAAAAGAAAACAGACAAAAAATGACTATTAATTAATAAAAAATGTGTGCTACTTTTTCTTAACGCCTGCTGGATGTTGTGTAGTTTATTAAAATCAAACAATGAAACAACGTTTCTAAAGATTGTGTTGTAATTTAATCAGTTTTTAGGTGTGTTTCTAACAAAGACCTCCTCGCTTGCCACAAACTACAGTGAGATTAATTGAGATAAAAGCTGATATGCTACTGATGACGAATATGATGTTGTGTTTGTCAATCAAAAGCAACAATTTGGTATCTGAATCCACTGTCAGTCCACTCTGTCCACGCCAACCTCACTCCTTTCTCGTTGGGTTAGGTGTGGAGTCCAGTCCAATAGTGCATTTGTTACATTGAGTCCAGTGAACGCAGCCGACTAGCAGCCGCTGTTCCGTCGTGCGTACGCCTGCCCGTTCAGCATGTACTCCATCTCCTGGAACTGCATGCTGGACACAGAGATTTCCGAGGGCCCTTTCTCCTTGAAGCCGGCCTTTAGGTAGAAGGGCACCAGGAAGTCCTCGCAGATGAGCAACGCTCTGCGGAGGCCCGGCATGCACCGCAAGTACTGCAGGTAGCGCCACAGCAGGATGGATCCCTTGCCTTGCTGTCGACAGTGGCGGTGCACCGACAGCACGTGGATGTGCACGGTAGGCGTGTCTGGAACGTGTTGGGTCATGGCCTCCTGGATTAGAAAGATGAGATTTCCATCATTGATGAGTTGCAAAAATAAATATATTTCTTCTAGAAATGTTTTTTTTTTTTTTTTTTTAATACCTGTGAAAGCCTTTCCTTGTGCCAGCCGGAGCCAATGATGAAGGCTACCAACTGCCCCTCCTCAAACCAACCCAGAGACAGCTCGGGGCACTGACCCAGAAAATTAAGCACCTCATCCAGCGTGAGTGGGCACTCGCCAGAGACTGACACAAATGCTGCAAGGCATTTCAGACACTGATTATTATCATCAAGGAGGCAATTAAGATGAAAGGATAGAAAATATGATGTTCTCTCATGTTTAATCTGCTGACACATATCTAGTTTTTCCCCATAGTGTTGAAATGAGAAAACTCCAGTATGTTTCACAAATACATAATCTAAAAATATACCCTTTTTTGGCCATATTTGCAAGCATTCTGTTTGTGAATATTAAAAGCATAGACTTACCTTCTCTTTCTATTTCGAACACGCTGATTGCATCCTGTGGGGTGAGATTTCTGAACTCGCTGGCGGGGAGCGTGTGTCGTCTCTGCTGCCGAGGGGTGACCACTCTGACGGGTGTCTTCAGGAAGAAGGGCTTCAGGAAAGGCGAACCGCTCACCTGCTTTGTCATGTTACCCTCGTGAAGAGCAGCTTCACAATTATGTATTATCATTAATTTACTAATATAGTTTAAATGATGGCCAAATGTCTGATCGCTGTCTGTCCCACACCTCCGTCTGTAATCAACCTAACTTCTCTGAGCAAGATGCTGACCTTTGTGCCTCCTCTGCTGTCTGCTCCTCCTCTTCCTCTTCTTCTTTGTGTCTGATCTGATAATGCAAAGTAGTCGTCTCAAAGAAGGGGAGCTGCCTCTGCACGTGTCTCCAGCCTCTAATAAATCCCTGGATTCTAAATCAGACATATGCTTGAGACCTTGGATCTGGATTATAAAAGCTAAAACTAGATACTGGAATAATTAAAGCAATAAACTTTTCATCTTCTTCATGAGTTTAAAAGGAACTGCTTTAACTCGATTGTTTCTAGAATTTATTGTAAGTGGATAATAATTTTTAAACATTTACAACTGGGAAACCATGGTTATTACATTATGTTAAATGAACAGTATGTTGACATTTTTAGTTTGCAGTAGTGAAAAGCATTGATTGTATCTTGAAAATCTCAAAATTGCTTTTTCTCCTTAACATGCCACTGAACAGGGGAGATGCAACAAATTTTCCTGTGCAAATTTTTAGCACAGGAAAACAGGAGCGTCTATATTTTTATAAACTTAGTTGTATAAACTAGTTGCCCAACTTCTGGCAGCAATGAACAGGTGTTTGTGTTGAAATAGGCTTTTTTGTGTCGACACTTGCTTCTCCTTGGAATTATATTCCACACTGCTTACTTTGAACATGCGTTTATCAATTAATGAGTCAATAATATACATCCTCGGCATGTGTGTCATGCAGGGTCTGCAGGGTCAAGGTTTTGTATTTATTTACTATATCCATTTGAAATTGATTTTATTATTTCTGTGAAAAACAGTGACAAATGTGGTCAAGTGATGCTGGACTATAATTATTTGAACACAGCAGAATATGCTACATCAGTTGTGTATTTCAGAGTGGGCATGAGGCATGAGGCGCTGCTGGATGTTTGGTTGCACACGTTTCTAGAGATTAAGGGCATGTGGTCTAATTTGCTAGTACACAAAGAGGAGGGAGATTTGTGTGGATTGCTGTTGGATTGATTTCATGCTTTGAAGAGATTTACCAAGGACTAATTAAATGGGAAGACACTTGTTCTTACCAGCCTGAGGTGAACCTCAGACCCGTACATACGATTGACAACCTAAAGTTGTAAAGCAGCTCCTGAATTCACTCCAGATTCATAACAATAATGTTGATGTTTCATAATAACCTTTGTTCTTCTGTCTTGCGGAAACTAAGACATAGCCTTTTAACTTGCAAGGTTTAGGGAGCTGAAGAATGTTTGAATCTTTTGTGAAGGCAAAAAAATAAAAAAATATTTGGATTTTAGCACTATAAACACATCATGACTGGTTAACCTCAGACTTTGTATATACAGTTTAACATTCAAGTCTCAGAGTGTAACAGAAACTAATTTCCTTCCATACATATGATCATACAAACATTATGCTCTTTTTAGGTTCATGATGATTTAAAACACTAAAGTGTATGAACAATCTAAACTTTACACTTATTTACAAACAAAATGTCTTATTGAAAGAATACAATTTTTTTTTATTTCAAAATATTTTAAAGCTTTTTAGGTCATTTGTATACCTTTCAAAGTACAATACAAAAGTTTCATATGATTTCATGGAAAATGCTTCAAAAGCTTTTAAACCTAGAAAACAAAGTCAGGAAAAAGCTGGAAGGATGGATGAATAAACATGTGAGCAAAAAAGGACGGATTGAAGGATGAATAATGAACAGATGGATGGACGGACACGGAGAGTATATGCTAACCCAATGGATTATTCGGAATTATGCATATAATTCTCTTAATTAAAACAGAATTATCTTTATCCATACTTATTAATACATGTAAAGCACTTCTAACCAGCATATTCTGGCTATATCACTGCATATAAACAGGCTGACCTCAATGCTGATATTACAGTGCAATATCAGCATTGAGGCCAGCCTGTTTATACATATAAAGATATACACCTCTTCTTATGATGCCTAAATCTTGTAAAGTGAGATTTTATCTTTCATAAAATCATATAACTGATAGAACTGATCAAAAAACGTTTTTCATAGAGAAATTTTCATGTCATTTTACATTCTGTTGTTTACCAAATCAAAAATCAGAATTTTTGATTTGATATGCTTCTGTTTATTGTTTTGTTTGTATCTCAATATTACCTTCCCCCTTTAATTAAAATAAAAATATTTTTTAACATAAGACTTACATGCCTTTGTCTTGCTGTATTTACATGGCTTCTTAGACGATAGTAAATCAGTCCATAACTCACATGAAAGCAGTTTAATTGCACTACATTAAATTCAGAGGAATCTCAGCCTGTATGAATGATTGATACTTCCCTTTTTTTATAGGTTTAAAGAGTCCAACTTGTGTAATCTTAAATAGAAATGATGTGGAGACACAGAAAACATCTGCCTTGTTTTGGTATTGAATCTTTGTTCTTTATTGTTATACACATGCCGCTATACACACAAAGACAGACGGGTACAGGATTTTACATAGAGCCAAACACCACCTACTGTGGGGTTATCCTGGATACCAGGGCAACAGTGGTCAGAACAGGAAGGCACAGTGTCAAGTTGAAATGGCACAGAAGAGGATAAAAGACAAAAGAAACAGTTAAAAGCAGCGCAAGGTGAGAATGTCTACTAATCCACATGCAAATGCAAGCCCAATTAATAAAATGCAAACATTTCATAGATGTGCTCCTTCTGGTAACACATACACAAAAGTACTCAGACATAAGTAAGTAGTAATAAATGCATAATTAATACTTGGATATCACAAAGAAAAGCAACAATTCAACTTAGGATTACTTAATGACAATAACTGTTTTTTTCCTGTTGCATGAATTTTGAAAGAGAAATCAATGGTTCTGTACATTAGCGCCCTAAAACCTGTCTGTGCAGTGGAGCGGTTGTATATTGTCGCATTTGTAAGAATGTTGCAAGAAGCAGGCAGCCATATTAATTCAAGGCACATAGATCTAAAACGCTTGATGCTACACGTACTGGACCAAGGAAACTAAAGCTGCTGCCACACCAACACGTGACTCCTTGTTTTGCAGCGACATCATAAGCTAACACTTGGGTTGCCACATAAAGACTGTACAGCTATCAGCCATATCAATGACGGGTAAGCTTGCCTTGCTATTGGCTGTTTGTTCGAGGCTTTAACTACGTCTGAATTAGCCTGTAGCTATTTAAAAAAATGTGCAATTTACCAGAATCTATTTTTGTACTTTAAACATTATATTTTATACATATATAATAAGCAAGAATAGATTTTGAAGTACACATAATTCTTAATTGTATCACATTATTTGAAAAGTAAACCAACATGCTTAGGATGAAATACAACAAAAATAACCTCATCATATTCTTTCTCTAAAAGGAATGGATGAACCATTTTGTTGGAGTGCAAAAAAAATCGATCAGAAACAGAGACAAAAAGAAAAAGTAAAGCTTTCCCGATAAATTAAATCATCTTGGATCAATAATGTTCTGTGTTTCTGATCGTTTCAAAACATTAATACAAACTGCACTTAGAGCTTATTCTCAAATTAGTGTTAGGATGGTTAGCTTGTGGTTAACTGTGCTTGAAAGCACCACCAGGACAGGCAGCGAAAATCTCTGGAATCTACATTACAAAAATCACAACTCTGTCCAAGACACACAGCTGAACACTATCTTTTCAAAGATGAAAACTGAAATATACCGGCCATTGAAAATGAGAGCAAAAACACCTTCACCTCAGCTCGGTGTTCTCCTTCGAGCCGAAGGAATGAACAATCCTTCGTAATCCTCCCATTTTCTTTAAAGCCTCATATCAACAATCATTAAAACAGAAGCTCAGAGCTGGGGGGGACGGGCTTTTCGGAGCCCCTTTGTGAAAGCGACGAAGGGACTAGATTGTTGTAGTGAGGCAGAGCCGAGTCAGAGTCAGTTGAAATGTTCATCTTCCATATGAAGGCTGCTTGTGGGACACAGGAGAGGCTGGCTGGAGCAGTTTGTGCTCTGACTTTTTAGACTTTCCGTCGAGTCTGACGAACCTGCGATGAAAGACACGGAAATGTTAAAAGCAAAATCTCCTGTTAGACTTTCAGAAGATGCAGCGAAGTACAACAAACCGGATTTAAAACATGTTTACAGCAGCAAATCTGACATAAATTTCTAGCTACAATAGACGTCAATGAATGTAATCACAGAGAACCACATTTGGTGGGAATAGGTGGGATCCCCACCCCCCGCAGCATAACCAGAAGCATAGCAGACAGGAAAGCCTACATACCATAGTTATTCCTCCATACCAATGGAGCAGGAATCAGGACCTAGAGCTGCAAAGGGGGTGAGGAGGAACACAGAGGTAGGATGGTAGGAAATAGAAGAGGAGTGTTAGGAAACATGCAGAGGTGAGAGCACACAGGTTATATGCAAAGCACATAGAGAACACAGACTCACAGTGTTTAGTTTAAGATCTAGATCTGGGGAACCAGAATAAAAAAGGTGAAGCCTTATAGAGTAAAGAGCGAGCAAGATGCAGGAGATTGTGTTTTAATGACATCACTCTGGTTTTCTTAGAAGTCCCATCAGAGTACGCGTTTGTCAAGCATATTTTAAAGGCATTTTAATGAATGAAATCACTTTTATTTCTGTGCGTCTTTCCAACAAAACATTCTCAACCAATTAATTAGAACAACAACAACAAAAATCTTCCCGCTCCACAGAAGATTTCTCACCAGGCAAAGACAGATCCCCCGCTGGGTCACTTTCTGCTTTGGTCAAGCTACAGTGCTCACTGCTGCAGTCCTGCAGGATGTCTCCTCCAGACGGCATTCTGTCGTCTGGATCACACACAGACAATTTCAAACATGCTACAACGTCTCTTTGCTGACAGCCAAATGCAGCAAAAACAGGGACAAAACTAACCATCGTCTGGAGAAAGGGATTCTGCCACATCCTCGGTGGCTGTAGCCTG